GATGCTAACAAATAAATATGTTTGGATATCGAAGAGCGGAAAATTGAACCAGTGATGTCTGTTGTGTGCGTGGCGTAGATGCAGGTCAAACCAATGCGCCATTGTCGTTTTCATTTTGTCCCAATTGTGGGCCAGGCGCGCTCCTTCTTCCGTAGTCCTTTCAGCATTTCCGAACAGATGGTACTTCTACACCATGATGTCTCTTTTCATATCAAGCGCTCTAGTTTGTATTACAGGATAAAGGCCAGTGACAGACACTTCCAATTGCACGCTGACATGGTGAGTCCCTGATTTGACGGCACCGCCGACCCTGGCGACGTGTGTGCGCGTCCGCCGCACTCCCCAGGCCACCTGTGTCCTTGATAGGTGACGCCTATCACGCGTGTCGTCAGAGCTGTCGTCATCAGCTGACGGCGGCGCGCCGACCTCGGATCTCGCTCGCGATTGGCCGGCGGCGGCGATGTGGAGCAGCGGACTCGCGCCGACACCTGTCCGGTACCCACAGCCGCCGGGCGCGGAAACGGCGCCGAAAAACCGAAGCCATGCTGCGGCCCTGCACCCGGCCGACGCCGGCCACTGCGGGGCGCCATAACTCTTACCACAATAACCCTGACTAACGCGACTGGAGACCGCTCACGGTAGCACGCTCGCGCGTCGCGGGGATCCGGGTCCCAGTTCTGAGTACCTGCAGAGCGTTGTCACCGTGGCAGGTGACGCGATGGGCTTTTGCGCCAGCGCAGTGACGCGCGGCCGATAGCGGCGCCGAAGGCTTTCGTATATGGCTTAGGTCGCGAACATGTGGGGCCGAATCCAGGCACATCGGCGCCAAAACCCGTGCGCAGTCGAGCTCCGGCACCTCCCGAGACGACACTCCCTGCTTGCATCATCTCCGATGCAGCATGCACTCCGTAATCACCGCGTGTACCGTAGCTGTGAGCTGCGTGCCGGGACACTGAGCATCAGCGGCGTGTTACGTGATATGCTGTTGACCTCCGACCGTCTGGCCGTCCGGCCGGCCTCTGACCGTCTCGGGAACCGAGACGCGTCTGGGGGGCGTGTCTTGTCGACGCACGTGATGCGTGACCCCCCGGGCTGCACCGAGCGGAGCCGGCCGGGCTCAGGCGCGACCATGTCTTCATACCCGCTGGCATGGTGACGGCTTGTGCACATCCAGAGTGTCGTGGATCACGCTGCTTGAAGCCAGTGGTTATCGTTCCGGGCAGACAGGTGCCTGGTTCACAGGATTTGTTGAATCCTAATTAGCGTTCACTAACTTACACACAATACAACCAGGGCATTAATTACTTACGCATACGGCTAAAATTGCAAGAGTAAGTTGATCCCGCAAAAGCGGGATCAACTTACTCTCGTATACATGGCCTAATACATTGAATACGACCAGCCTGCGGAATCTTATATTCATGCTAGGGTCAGTGAAGTCTTTCCGGGGTGTCGGT